GATGTCAGGTGTCAGACAGGTATCAGGTGTCAGACAGGTGTCAGACAGGTATCAGGTGTCAGACAGGTGTCAGACAGGTATCAGGTGTCAGACAGGTGTCAGACAGGTATCAGGTGTCAGACAGATGTCAGTTGTCAGACAGGTATCAGGTGTCAGTCAGGTGTCAGACAGGTATCAGGTGTCAGACAGGTATCAGGTGTCAGACAGGTATCAGGTGTCAGACAGGTATCAGGTGTCAGACAGGTATCAGGTGTTAGACAGATATCAGACAGGTGTTAGACAGGTGTCAGACAGGTGTCAGACAGGTGTCAGGCAGAAATCAGACAGGTGTCAGACAGGTGTCAGGTGTCAGACAGGTATCAGGTGTCAGACAGGTGTCAGACAGGTATCAGGTGTCAGACAGGTATCAGGTGTCAGACAGGTGTCAGACAGGTGTCAGACAGGTATCAGGTGTCAGGCAGGTGTCAGACAGGTGTCAGACAGGTGTCAGGCAGAAATCAGACAGGTGTCAGACAGGTGTCAGACAGGTATCAGGTGTCAGACAGGTATCAGGTGTCAGACAGGTGTCAGACAGGTATCAGGTGTCAGACAGGTATCAGGTGTCAGACAGGTGTCAGACAGGTGTCAGTAAGGGGACAGAAGTTTCTCGCTGCAGTAGGTCAATGGCAGCCTCCACATCCTCTACCACATGATTTGGCTCCACCAGGTCCAGGTCCAGTTTCAGGTCTCGGTGACTACTGAGTACCATCTCTGAGGAGCCACTGTTTTGGTCACCAGGCTTCAGAAAGCGAGGGTTGTACACACCTGTGCACACCTGGAGATAAGTTAACCAATTGCAAGACAGCTGTTTTACACAATGTCACATGTAATAAACCTTCTCTTGGTTCAAGTGAAGTTGGTGAAATAATGACCAACATCTTTACCAGGATGGAGCAACATTTAACAGCAGATGCCACTTCTTCTTCTGCCACTGCCACCTGGCTGCCTGCTCCCTGGACAACAAGCTTGGCACTGGGCGTCATGGCCTCGTGCTGCTGAGCCAGGTAACGGTTGTACAGGTTAGCACCATAAATGTCTGTCATCAAATTGTCACTATAAAACAAGAACAAGACCAGGTGTAATTATGGATGTTGCTACACTCAGTTTGATGACATACAGTATCAGTGGTACAGATGCATCAGAACAGTCTTTGGGTTCATTAGACAGGGCTGTCCTGTCCTGGTCCATGAGAGACGATCCTGCATGTTGTAGAGGTGTCTTTGCTCACACACATCTGGTTTGAATGAATGGGTGACTACCAGGCTTCTGCAGAACTTCAAGAGTTCATTCAATCACTGAATCAGGAGTGTTGAAGCAGGGAAATGAGTAACCATGCAGGATAGTGGCCCTTGAGGACCAGGATTGGACCCCACTGGGTCAGACACTGCATTAATACAGACAGTCTTTGGTTTGGTTGGACAGTTTCAGACGGTATAAGCATTTTCACAGTCAGTGAAAGACAGTGTTAAAAACTTGCCTACCCGATAGCATAGATTGTGGACAGTTTGCGGTTGTTGTTCTGCTGCCTCAGGAGCTGCTCTGCATACTGGTACGTTTGCAAACTGGGTTTTCCCAACAGCGCTTCATAGTGCAGCTCTCGACCAGTCAGCTTCTTGTAGACTGACTCCAAACACAGCAGGAACATCCCATGACCAAATCTGTGGTAGAACAACAGAGGAACTACTGATGAAGAGCCCAAGTCTCCAGCTGACACCTAACAGGAAGTGTTTGTTACCGTGGGGATGGGGCATCTGCCATCCATAGTAGGTCCATGTTGCAGGCAAGAACAGGCAGTTGTTTTGGCAGCCGGGTGTCATACACACAGTCAGGTCTGCCGTTGGTCAGAAGCACGTCAATCAACAGTTGCAGGTTGGTCTCCCATCTGATTGGCTCCCCGAACAGGATGATGGCTACAGTAAAACAACATCAGTGTTAACTACACCGAGTGTAACACAAAGCTATGCTGCAGCAATCTACTGAACATGGTAAACATGGTAAACTATCAAAGAATCAGACTCCTCAGAAACATTCAGGTGCTGGAAGGGTTGAACCCCCCACATGTTCACTACGTGTGTTCATGTTCACTATGTGTTCATGTTCACTACATGTGTTCATGTTTACTACATGTTCATGTTCACTATGTGTTCATGTTCACTACATGTTCATGTTCACTACACATTCATGTTCACTATGTGTTCATGTTCACTACATGTGTTCATGTTTACTATGTGTTCATGTTCACTACGTGTGTTCATGTTCACTATGTGTTCATGTTCACTACATGTTCATGTTCACTACATGTTCATGTTCACTACACGTTCATGTTCACTATGTGTTCATGTTCACTACATGTGTTCATGTTCACTATGTGTTCATGTTCACTATGTGTTCATGTTTACTACATGTTCATGTTCACTACACGTTCATGTTCACTACATGTTCATGTTCACTATGTGTTCATGTTTACTACATGTTCATGTTCACTATATGTTCATGTTCACTATGTGTTCATGTTCACTACATGTGTTCATGTTTACTACATGTTCATGTTCACTATGTGTTCATGTTCACTACATGTGTTCATGTTTACTACACGTTCATGTTCACTACATGTTCATGTTTACGACATGTTCATGTTCACTACACGTTCATGTTCACTACACGTTCATGTTCACTACACGTTCATGTTCACTACATGTTCATGTTCACTACACGTTCATGTTCACTACACGTTCATGTTCACTACATGTTCATGTTC